ATTTTATTCGGTGGTTTGTAGACTGTTTGTATGTTGTGTTTGTTCAGGATTCTGCCAATCTTATCTGTGACACCCTTTATGTATGGGAGGTAAGTGAGTCCTAAAAGTCCTTCACATAAAAAACCATCTCGGCACAAAGAAAGCAAACAACATCATGCAAAAAGCCGGTCTTCAATTGGTGAAAGAGCTCATTTCCCATATAAAATATCAAATCTATCATATTTCTCAGAAACTATTCCATCTCCATCTGCATCTATCTGCCTGCCTTAGGTCAGATCTGTAGCTCATACTAGACCTTATAACATACAAACAAGCAGAATGCATACATCTGCACTCATCTCAACAACAGATAAGAAAATATCAGAAATTAGCACCACAGGAAACTACCATTCGTCCACTACTAAACACGGTAAAAAATCTGTCCAATAAAATCTTTTCTGCCGAAACGTTCTCAGCCTTAGCCAAAGGCCACAATTTCGCGGTAGCCCCAACTAAACTCCCAAACGAGACAATAATTAGTCATATAGAAACAGCCATACACTTTCTTCCCCAAGAACCTGCTAACAATATCCGCAGACTAGTGGCTAACATACTCAATAAATCAAAATTGCCAACTCATAATCTTACTAGATCTGAACGCTGTGCTTTGAAACAAGTAAATCAAGACAGAGATATTATCCTTCCAGCAGATAAAGGCAATACAACAGTGATCATGAATAAAACAGATTATGACACTAAAATTCAGACATTACTTACAGACTCCACATATGAAAAACTTAAGAAAGACCCTACTGCTTTATTAAACACTCTCACCACCAATCTCATTAAGAAAAACAATCTCCCAAACGTGTTAATACCCAGAAACGCGGTACCACCTAGACTATATGGACTACCCAAAATCCATAAAAACAACATACCCCTCAGACCGATAGTAAGCGCTATAAACTCACCTACATACGATCTAGCTCGCTTCCTGGTCAGCAAACTAGAACCTCTCACGGGTAAAACTGACACCACGATAAAAAACTCATCTGACTTCATTTCTAAAATCAAAAACATCAAACTTCAACCTAATGACATTTTGGACAGTTTTGATATTGTGTTTCTGTTCACGCAGGTACCAATCTATGACACCATTAACATAATTAAATCTTCAGGTCAACTATCATCCGACCTCATATCATTGGTAGAACATTGCCTGACCACAACCTATTTCACCTACAATAACCAATTCTATAAACAAATCACAGTTGCAGCTATGGGATCACCGATATCTCCAATCATAGCAAACATATTTATGGAACACTTCGAAACCCAGGCCATCAAAAAAGCCCCACTAAAGCCACAAACATGGTACCGGTACGTAGATGACACCTTTGTCATTTGGCAACATGGGGAGACAGAACTCTATACCTTTTTAGACTTTCTCAATAAACAACACCCAAACATTACCTTCACATTAGAAACAGAACAACATGGTAAACTTCCATTTTTAGATGTTCTGATCACAAGAAAACCAGACGGCTCTTTAGGCCACCAAATCTATAGAAAACCCACCCACACCAATCGATATTTACACGCGGCATCACATCATCACCCAGCCCAAAAACAAGCTGTGATAAACTCGTTGATCTATAGAGCATTTACTATATGCGACAAAGACAGCATTCAAAACGAACTCAAAGAATTAAAAAACACTCTCCAACATAATGGCTACACTGCAACAAATAAACAAAGTAATTAAAAAACATCAAAATAAACCCTCTACCACCACTCAAAATACACCAGCACCAGAACAAACAACAAACTTAAAGAAACAAATTACTTACCTCCCATACATAAAGGGTGTCACAGATAAGATTGGCAGAATCCTGAACAAACACAACATACAAACAGTCTACAAACCACCGAATAAAATAAGACAGATTCTTAACAATCCAAAAGACAAAAGACCGCCATTAGACACACCAGGAGTGTACAAAATACCTTGTTCATGCGGTAAAGTATACATAGGTGAAACTGGTAGAATGATAAGCACACGACTAAAAGAACATCAGTCAGCAGTATGTCTAAAACATTACTCACAATCGGCATTAGCAGAACACCATTTGGAAACTGGTCACAAAATTATGTTTGACCAAACCCAAGTACTAAACAAAACTAGGGCTTACTTCCCTAGAAAGTATACGGAATCTCTGGATTTATACAAACTTCCAAACAATCTCAATAGAGACTGTCACGTCCCGTGGACTCCACTTCCTCTTCGCGACGTGACAACAACGAGATATGATATCACGGGAACGCTGCCGCGCGGTACTGGCGCGAAACCGGATATCAATGATCGGTAGAACCAAGAAACACAGAGTTTGGAAAATTCCTGTTTTTCTTTCTCGATTAATTTTCCTTTTTTAATCTTAAACGGAAACTTACATCCCGGGAACATGAAATCAAGGGAAATCCGACGGATAACGAGAAATCGGGTGACCTATCGTGAAATTTCGATTGGTCCCGAGTTTTCCGAGTCGCTGGCATAAAAGAGCCCCGCAGGGGCTCTTCGAGTCAGAACAAAACAAAATTTTCCAAAGTGCGGTCCTTGTCAATACGTGAGCAAACGTAGTGCAGACGAAACGAGTGACTCAAAGAACAATTGTGTTTGTGACGGGTGTGGATCCTACTGGTTTGCAATTGGAGCTGACCCGAGACCGCTGCCGCCGCCGCTTTGGTGCTACCACCACCTTGCTGCCGCCTATTGCAAGAGTAAGTAGTAAGTGCTAGTATTAAGTCGCAAATACGTTACTTGTGCCTCACGCCGCGATCAGAATTTAAAAATCCATAAAATTCTTTGCTAGTTGTCACAATTTTAAAGTAGTTACGAGAATGGTTGCTCCCCTTGTCTAGAACGAGCTAACGCTGATACGGGCTGCAGACGATTCGCAAGAATCGTCACGCGACTCAGCGTGCTCTCGCATCTCCGAACGAGCTGACGCTGATACGGGTTGCAGACGATTCGCAAGAATCGTCAAGCGACTCTCAGCGCGCTCTCGCATCTTTGAACGAGCTAACGCTGATACGGGTTGCAGACGATTCGCAAAAATCGTCAAGCGACTCTCAGCGCGCTCTCGCATCTTTGAACGAGCTAACGCTGATACGGGTTGCAGACGATTCGTAAGGATCGTCAAGCGACTTTCAGCGCGGGCTCTCGCGCCCACGAACATAAAATCGCGGAAAGGAAACAGTAAATAAATTTAGGCAGCAACCGATCTCTAAGACCCGTGCCACTAGGAACTTATAATCGCGAATTTTAATTAGACTCGCCCGTTCCCGAAAAACGGACGGCGAGAAATACTCTCAAGGGTTATCGGCGAAGAGCCGCAAAACGGGCCCGGAAACAGGCTTGGCTCAAACAGGGTCTGTCGTTGAGGCACAACGACAGACACCTGCCGAGACTCACCTCACCGTACCAGACACCCCGCTAAGAAGTAGCGAAAATTATGAAAACAGCAATAGTAGTTATAATAACAACACTGACACACCACCAGATTTGCGAGCTCAGACGCCTCCCCCGCGCTCTTCTCCACTCCGCCCTTCGCCACCATCCTCGCCCAAACCGGAATATTTAGGCGAGCGCCCCGCTGACCCCTCTCGTCCACGCATCTTCCCCCGTCCTCTTCATTTCCTAGCGCTCGCCTCTGCCTACAAAATCACCACCCCTACCTCCACCGCGTATATAGTCGATCCTGAAAACTTTGATCCCCCCGAACTCCACCGGATAATTTTCACCTACCCTCCAGATGCCCTCCTCACCGTTAGATTCCCCCTCCTTTTAGAACACAGGTTAGTCCCTGTAAGAGATTTTTATAAATTTTTCCCCCCGACTTCCTGTAAAATCACAGAAATAATAGAAGTTAAACTGGACTGAGTTCGCAATACAAACATACTCACAAATTAGAAATGTATAAACTATGTAAATCTGAATCATCATAAACTATGTTATTGTAAATGAAATAACTACACATAAAATATCTCAATTATAAACAAATAACTACATATAAAATTATGACAAGCAAATATATATATTCGATTACAAACATTGTCTAAACATTATTAATTGACCTCTTGCCCACTATCCCGCACCTCTAAACAGATCGCACAGTCTCGTCCCAGGCAATTGAGATTTGCGTCTCAGGCCTTAAACAGAGACACACGAGCGAAGTCCAAAAAGCGACGGAGTAAGAGCGGCACACGACCGTTGACCCGTCCGCCGGACCCGAAAGATCGCTCGACTCTCGCACGCACACACGACCGTTTCTCCAAGTGTGCGTGTCAAAAGATAAAGAAAATTCGACAAGTGTTACGCTCCGCTCATGCCCGACCGTTTCCAGGAGCCAGGACGTAACAAGACAATAGACATATGACTAGTTCACTATGGCATTCCATCTTGCCATAACACATCCTCCCCTTATTCTTATCATTCTACCTTTCTTTTACCACACCCCTCCCACTCCAATCTAGCGCTATAAAAGGGGACACCTGACCAAGAGCATCTCAGTATCAGAGAGGCCAGTTTGCGGACGCTAGCAACATGCAACAGCAAGTGGAGGGGATACGCACACAGGCGAACAGCCGTGTACGTGTGCGCTCGGCGCTTCGGCCAGCTTCGAGCAGTAGAGAGAGACGGACATATATAAGCACGAACGGTGCGTTGAAACCGTCGCGTTGTAAAATTCAAAGCGCCGTACCACCATAGACGTATAATATATAGACTTCGCGTTCCCTACCTTTGCCATGGTAAGAAAATGTCTTCAACGTTGAGAGAGACAGCCGGTGTTGAACAGTAGCGTTATCTCTGTTTAGCAAAGTAGTGGGGGAAGAAGTCTTCGCTGATTGATAGAATAGTATTGGAAAAGTAAGGATAGAAAAATAGTGGAGATGAAGAGGAATGAAAGAGATTAAGGGGTGATGGTAGGTTAGGCGATATAAAACAGTATGCTTTGCGCACAATAGACAATATTAGAGGAAGAGAAATATATATTAAATATTAGAAATAAGAAATTTAAATTATGTCTTTACAAAACAAGAAAATAGAATAAATTAATACATTATAAGGTAAAAAATATAAAGTTGAAATAATTAATTTATTTCGTTCTCTTGTTTAATAGGGTGAAGACCTCAGTGCTCGGCCACTACTCAGTACTCGGCCACTTTGATTTTTAAACTCAAATAATAACTTATGACATGAGGAATGGATAAAACGCTTTTTTTATATTACATTCTTATTATTCTAGTTTGTAAATGGACACAAAAGTAGTTTTATCAAAGTCTAACAGTAAATGTTATAAAATATCTTTAAAAGCGGTCATCGATTTCATACGTAATTTTGCCATTTTTTAGTTTGNAAGCAACAAGCAACTCGAAATAAAAACTACTAAAATAAAGAATTTTTTTATACTATCAACTCAAAATTGATATTACATAATTGTAAATACTACAAAATTGAGATATCTACTGAAAAAAACAATAAAAAGTACTTTTAATTTTATTTACATAGATGGCCGGTTTACTAATTTTGAATGCACGCGAAATTCAGTGCTCGGCCAGTCTGACGAGCACTAACGTAATGAACGTCACACTACGAGAGCTAGTCTTCCGGCCACCGCGAGGCAAGGCCACGCGTACTAGAAACTTTGACGATAATATCTATTTATCGNNTTTTCTGTTAATTTAAGACTGTCAAAGAACAAAAAAGTAGTTTTGAGATTACTGAAAAAAGTTGTAAATTTAGAAAAGTTGTGATAGGCATATTACAAGTTTCTAACCTTAAAATGAGTGAAAAAGAGACTGACTGTGATAATAATTTTGATTGTAACAGTGTATCTAAAAATGAAGAAAGTGTTAAAAATATGAGAAAAAGACAGTACCATAAGTATAATGATAAAGATCTTCAAAATGCTCTTTATGCTATTCGAGAATCAAAAACAAGTATTCGCAAAGCAAGTAAACTATTTAAAGTGCCACGAACAACTCTCCAAGATATAATAAATGCTAGAGTATCTGAACAGAGTCGTCGAATGGGACCTGAACCTTATTTGACTGTAAAAGGCGAAAAAAGAATTGTAGATTGGATTATCAATTCAGCTAAATGTGGTTTTCCTCTAAAAATATACAGAATACAAGATACAATTAAAAAACTTATTGAAGACAGTGATTTGATGACTCCATTTGTATTCAATAGGCCTGGAAAAACTTGGATAAGACTTTTCTTAGCAAGGCATCCAGAACTGAGGACTCGTGTATCTGAAGGGATTTCCAAAGGTCGAGCCATCGTTACTGAAGAATCAATTAGAAACTGGTTTAAAGATCTTCAGCAGTACTTAAAAGATATTAGTGCAGAAGATATATTGAAAGATCCCACTAGAATTTTTAATGGTGATGAAACAGCCTTTGGTTTATGTCCGAGTACTGGCAAAGTTTTAGGCCCAAAAGGCTGGAAAAATATATATGAAGTAAAAATGGGTAATGAGAAAGAAACGATCACCGTATTACTATTTTTTTCAGCTAGTGGCGAAGTTGCTCCACCAATGATAGTATACCCATATCAGCAATTACCTGAAGAAATTGCTAACAGTGTTCCAGCATTTTGGGTTATAGGAAAATCAGATTCTGGTTGGATGAAAAGTGATGTGTTTTTTGAACATATGGCAAATGACTTTAATAATTGGTTAGAACATAAAAAGATTAAGAAACCAGTGATTTGTTATGTGGATGGTCATAAGTCGCACTTAACAATGCATCTAAGTGACTTTTGTAGCAAAAATGGAATTATTTTATATGCTTTACCGCCAAACTGCACACATATTATTCAACCAGCAGATGTCAGTGTCTTCAGGCCTGTTAAACACAGTTAGAAATAAACTGTAACTAATTGGCAAGCAAAACCAGAAAATTTCAATACTTGCTTTACCAAAGTAACTTTTGCTCCCCTACTTGCTGAAACTTTACAACGTTCAGACATGCAAAAAAGCATTCAGAATGGTTTTCGTACATGTGGCTTGTACCCTTTGGATGCTAATAAAATAGATTATTCAAAATGTGTTCAGAACACTCTTGAAAAATTAGCTTGCCAAAAAGATGTGTCCTTGCTGTCAGATGTGCAAAGTTTACAAGAAGCAATTAAAAACTTAGCTCCAGAACTAGAATCTAGAGGAGTCTATGTAAATATTATCTTGAAAGAAATAAATAAGGCTGACTTGCAGATGACTGAAAAATTTGGTATGTGTTTAAGTATTATTTTTTTAATTTTTAGTTTACTTATTTATTTATTTCTTTCTTTATTATTACAAAGCTTATTTTATTGAAAGTCTCATCTGACAAAAAAACATTTATTTTTAACATTCTTTTAAAATAAAATAAAATCTCTGTTTTAATAAAATAAAAAATCAGTTTTAATAGATATTACTGAAATAGTTGAGAGAGTAGACGAACAGATAAATCAATCTGAAGTCAATCAGACCTCAAAAGTCATTGATGATCCTAGAATTACCAATGTATTTACAGTGACTGAAAAAGAGCAAACACACACACACACACACACACACACACATTACAATCTGGTAAATTATATTTTATAATTATAATTATAATTATATAACATTACAATCTGGTAAATTATAGTAATTAAACATTATATATAGCTTAAATGTACAAGGATTTATAAAAAGTCGAATAATTTTTATAATTATGTAACTTAAACGTATGTTTAATTTATATAAGTTATTTTATGTACTTTTCTGGATGCAATT